CCCCAGCTGGGGTGTGCTTTGGTGGAACGGGCCCATCCACTGGCAGCTGAGCAGCACCCTTGCCTTCACGGGCTGCACTGATCATTTCAGCATTACCCACAGGTGTCTCTTGGGAGGTAATGGCTGAAGGGGACAAGGGAAGAACAGGTTTTGCATTATCTGCTGACACTGGAGACGCCACATCAGATTGGACCCCAGGCAGTTTGACAGGCTCAGTTTGTGCTGAAGCAGTCACAGCCACAACATCAGTCGATTTTGACATGATACCAGGAGAACATGGGGACTTCTGTTGTGAAGATAAACTGTCAGTAAGTGCACACTGGCTCAGCCCCATCCCTCCTTGGTAAATTATGTGCAGTTCTTCCTTCTCCTCTGGGCTAGGATTCCCTTTTAAGAAGGCAGCAAGGATGCTGGGACTGGTGGAGGCCGATTTGCTCTCCACAGTAGCCACAGCCTGAACCTCAGCATCTCGCCATGTCCTGCTTACTGCTTCCTGAGTTAAAGAGCTGCTCTCTGGCTGAACTGTCATTGTACCCGTTTCTCTGAATCTGGACAGCTGGGTAGGGGCTGGACTCCCCGGCCCGGGGTCCACGCTGTGCTCAGGATGCTGGCTCTCGTGGCTAGACTGGGCTGGTGCCTTGGTGCTCTGCATCTCTTCAGTCTTATCTGTGGCAAGCAACTGCGTGGTGTCTGTAGGCCCACTTTTTGCCTCCAAACTGGCCTGTGGGTCTCTCCCCAGGGCAGCTTCGGTGTGCCTTGCTGACTGTTCTGCTCCCCTGTCTTTCTCCCCTCTTTGCAGAAGGTTTGCCTGAGAAGCAGGACAGGACTCATTACCCCTGACAGGGTCGCCTGGGAAAGAATAATTTAACACCTCAAGTGCTGGCTGACCATCAGTCCCCTGAGGTTTCAAGGCAGAGTCATCTATTTGTGTCAGGGAGCTCGTTTTTGCCTGGCTGCCTTGCACACACTGCCGGGAGCTCTGTGGGGCTGGCATCATCTCTGGCCCGCACCCCGACAAGGGGCCTCCTGCTGCAGGGGGGCCTGCTGCTGCTGCGGGTCCAGCAGGCTCTGTGGCTGCAGGACACCCCTCCGCAGCTTTGCTGAAGATCCGAGGAGGACAGGCTTCACGCTGGCTACTATGGTCCTTGCAGCATTGCTCACACTTCTGTGCAGCCGCTGTGCATTTCAGGTCGGACAAGTAAACTCCAGCAGAGCCGGATGGCGTGCATGGGAAGCCATTGCTGGCCTTCTCTCCACTGGGTAGCTGGGGCTGGTGCTTAGCGGGCTGCAGGTCTCCCAGGTGTTCCTCCTCCACAGAAGCTGTGCCCAGGGGAAGCTTGGCAGATCTCAGAGGATCTGGTACAGTCCCCATGGACTGCCTCAGAGATATGGTTTGCCCTCGGCTTCTCCTCAGAGCTTTCTCGCCAGGTGGTGGGTACAACAGGGCAGGCTGTCAGCGACAGTTTTCATGTAAAGCTAATCTGTTAATGAAAGAAACATAGTGTTAGCAGCAGTCAGATTTAAGAAGAAAAAGTATTCAGAACTAATTGATTTTAGAGCTTGGAGAGAAATACTTGCAGACAAGGTGGAACTAAAGCATCTCAATCTGCCTATAAGTCATGTAAAAGATATGCATTTCAAGGATCTCCCAATTCCAAGATCCAGATGGAGAAGACAATACAAGGGACAAAGCCATAACAGCTTCCCTGTTGTTGGCACATTAATGAAAACATAATGACATGCCAAGAAGGAGAAAAAAACCCACAAATATGAAGTGAAAGTAGGGATGAAATGGGAAAAGGTGCAGACTTTGTCTGGAAGTTGGAGGTCACAAAATAAACTCACTGTGACAAAATCCCCTAGACAGCCACCTATGGAAGGAAAGGTGCTGCCTTGCCTGTTGTGCTATGTGAAAAACAAATCCAATTCCCATTGTGTGATGTGAGTGGATCCCACACCTTTGCTGAGCACCAGTTCCCTCTTCTTCTCATGGAGAGCCCTTCTCTAACTCAGCTGCCAACAAGGACACACTCACCGGGGCAGTGGGTCAATTCAGACTAATGTGGATGAACCCAAAACTCACCAGTAAAAGGAACGTGGAGTGACAACAACCTGCTGGGTGGTGCAGATAAACACCAAGAGAAGCTACTGCAGGGCACAGCAGTGGGGCTGTGCACGTACTTACTGCTTTCACATTTAGATCCATCAAAATAATTACAAGGAAGCCAGCTCGATTAATAAACAGGGGCACAGATGATCTAGAAATCAATTTATGAGCAGGTGGTATGAAACTGGAAGGGCAACGTTGCAGCACTACAGAACAGGAGGGGCTTATGACATACCCAGTGGCACGGGGGGAGGGATTTTAAGCAGGTGGAATGGAGTTATCCAGGTTGAAATTCAGCCAGGACTGCAAAGAAACCATTGCTTCAAACAGGAGGTGATCTCCAAATTTGCCTGTTGGCTGGGCTTTCAAAAGGACTTAGAACTGCCCAACTCAGACCCCGCTAGAGGTCAAGGGCTGGACCCCTGTCAGCGTCAGCAGAGGAGTAGTGGCTGGTGATGAAAATCCAACCCCAGTCATCTTTTAAACTGCAGGCTGCATATACTTATTTAAAAGGCTTTCCTCAGCTTATGCTGCCAGCAAAGCACGGGTATGAGACATGGGAGAGAGTCTGAACATGAAGTTTTATGTTAACCAGAGGGGTGACACTGAGAAAATTACTAAGCCTCTGTGTGCCCATGTGTCTGGTTTTCTTTGCTACATTACTTGGGAGGCATTGCTGGAAGGATCTCTGCAATGGCTCAGCTGTTCCAGACCCTCTCTAACCACTAGCAAAATCAGCAAAAGCCCTGGAAAGAGAACAGCCCTACTCTCCCTTCTCTCAGGGGTGACACTGAGAAAATTACTAAGCCTCTGTGTGCCCATGTGTCTGGTTTTCTTTGCTACATTACTTGGGAGGCATTGCTGGAAGGATCTCTGCAATGGCTCAGCTGTTCCAGACCCTCTCTAACCACTAGCAAAATCAGCAAAAGCCCTGGAAAGAGAACAGCCCTACTCTCCCTCTCTATGCCTGCTATGCTGGCATAGCAGAACTTCCTTACTTTCTGTAAAATTAATCCTAAATTTGAGCACCTTAGGGTACTTACAAAGAGCAACAGAAGAAAAGCTGTCAATGAAAGGAAAAATAAAACAAATACAGCCAATCTATTCTTCTAAGAAAAGGAAAATGCTGCAACTTATTACTTATTCATTAAACTTTATGTCTTCCAGATATTAATGATTTATTATTTTTATACTGTCTCTTTGGGCTTTGTCCATCCACAGATAGACACAGTCTGCTGGGCTAAGCAAGCCCCGGGAAACTGCAGTCCTGCCCCTGAAAAACTCCGAGTGTCTTAGTTTCAATCTGTGATCGCAGCCCTGCATCCCTCCAAAATGGCTTACCAGCAAGGCTAATGATTGCTAAGTTTTTTGAAAAGTATTAATTTTATGTAAACCAGACTGAAAATCAGTGGAAGTTTGTGTCTGCCTACAAGATATCTTCACTTCATTTTGTGCTCATTTTAAAGCCAGCCAATGTAGTCCTGAAGGAAAGGACAGCTGTTCCAAGTTGATGCTGTTGTACTACAAACGTCTTGACAACTATGAAGAGAAGAGCAGATGGCTTTGGGCATCTGTTGGTCTAAATTCTGTTACTCTCTTCTTTCCTTTTCCGAATATCAATGCAAACCAATCCAATACATACAGTTGAGCAGGTCACATTTTATATTTTGTTTTTGGATCCAGAGTTCACTTAAGAACAACTAAACAAATACTGGAACAGAACCAATCCTGGTCTCAGGATGAGACATGATGCTCAGCAAACCTTTTCAGAAGAGAAAGACAGCAGAGCAAATCTGTTCAGCTCTTCACTATACAAAACCTGGGAAAGGCAATCTGCATGCTGGAGCTCTGTCTTTACTCACAACCACTCAATGGGGGAATGATTCCTAATTTTCCAATTAAGTGAATTAGTTCTGATCTGAACCCCCACATGAATTCTCCCCAACTGTTTATTAACTCTTCACCAGCATCACCAGAAACACACATTTAAATGTCTGCCACATGTGCGAAGGTGATTCTGCTACCAGGCTCTCAACATATAATGATGATAGAGGAAATTCTGCCCCAGAAAAGAACATGTGGACCTGTTCTATGATATGGGACAACAGAGCATAACCCAGACATTTTGCTTGACTCTTGAACAGGTCAGACTACGTGGGACAACTCTGAAAATAAGTTAGTTTATGATAACAACGTTTTTATAAAGACTTTGTTGTCAAAGTCATGGGACCGATTTCTTGTTAGACTCTTCACTAAGCCACCCTAATGACACGAGCCAAAAGCACTGTAGCAGTCTAAATAAATGTAGTAATTTTTGACAATGCTCTCTCTTAAAAATTATTAAAAATCAAAATGAAATATGTCTTATGCAACAGAAAAAGTGAGAAAACCCAAATAACTACAGAATTGGAAAGTAATTTTTATTATTGGAGTCTTATTTATGATTATTGTCTCATTTTTACTATTGGAGTCCTATTACATAGGGGTGAAGAACAATGCTGGGACCTGTGGGCAACACTATTCAACTGCCAAGGTAGTGAGGATTCAACCCAACAACAAGCACTGACTGCAAGCAAATACCAAGAAGAAACGGAAGTACAGAACTCAGTAGTAGGCCAAAAAACATGTCAAAACAAATCAAGATCACTGATGAATTTTTAAAGTGTTGCATGCCCCACCTGGAGCAATCATCCAAAATTCTCTTTTATCAGGAGGTGAAACTAGTCTCTCAGCAAAGGTCAAAAATCAATTTTTAGTAATAAGAACAGATTTTCTACACCAACACAGTTCACCTTCACCTTGTTCTTTCAGACCAAATTAGTCTGTCTGTGTCAGTCTCAACTCAGCATAGAACTTTTCTGGACCTTTTGCAGCAAGAAGGTTCTAACTTTGACAAAGCCTATGCATATGGTCTGGGAGAGTCCTTGTGTAGCCAGCAGACCTTCATGGACTCCTGTCACTGAGTAGGTTGGCTGTATGTGCTTTGAAAAAACCAAAGAAATCCTCAAAAGCCCAAACTTCAAGTAGTTTCCAGGCAACTCAATGCTGACAATGTAAAAAGACTCCTATTTATTTTGTTAACACCCATCCCCCAATAAAACAACACTACAAATTTCCTTCTTGCTGCTTTTAAGTATGTCAACAAAACCAGAAAGTCTGCACAGTTAATAAAATAAACCAAGAAATTTCCAGACAATTCCAGCATAAGATTCTGCCTCCCCTTCCCTCTTGAAAAATCTGCAAAAGCACAAGTAAGACTGCCAGCACCTCTACCTACCCTCAACTTTAAAAAGAAATAAAAACCAACTAAAAAGCAGCGCCCAAACTAATCAAGCATCCCCTCCCCAATTCTGGACTCTCACCAGTTTTCTATTCCTTGAAACCCCTGTTCTTGGAGCCCTCTCTTCACCCTTGTCTCTCCAAATGGAAAACCTGAACATTTGCTCTTAGCAGTACTAATCTCATTATATGATCTCTCAGATCATCACAAAAACATCATACAACCACATGGGTTAAGGACACAGATAAATACCTGCTAAAGCAGGAATTCAGCCTCTTGCCTCATTTCTTGATCTGAGAAAAAGACAATGGCACTCTCTAACCCATGTCAGACCACTGAATATATAGAACACGAAGAACATTTCTTTAAATTCTAAATATACAGATTCATTTGCATCCTTCTGATTCTGACTCAACGTTCCCCTCCCTTCCCCCAGCTCATTAAGATTTTGTGCTCTGCAAACACTGTGACTTCCTCTTTTTAGTGTCAAAGGGTGTTTGTTTATTTGTGAATAAGTTGCTTCACGGGTTATTGTCCCCTAATTATTTGTGTGACCAAAGACTGGCTCTACAAAATGAAAGGCAGTGCAAACCAAGGGCATGTTCGTTAAAATACAAATGAGGTTGTCCGAAGGGCAAGGTACAAGATACACAGCTTCCATCTTTCTGCATGCTTTGAGATGCTGACAGGAGACAGACTCTTAAGCTACAATCACAGGGAAGCAACAGGCCACAGGGGATGCCCATGGTTACCTTGTGTTCATGTGGTTCCCACCCAAGAGATGGGGCTGGCGTTTCAAAGAGAAGATGCACGAAGTCCCATTTCCCCTTCTTCACCTGGAGACCATACATGCTATTGTGGACCACACTTGCCAACACCAGAGAAACCCATGCCAGATATAGATGTGAGGTCGACACCAGAAGCAACAAGTCCAACACCACAGGGCTGCGAGCATCCTCTGTGCAGATGTTCCGCAAAGTGGGCA